TGACAGCGCTTTTCCTTCACTTTGGTTAATATTTGAAGGTTGCAAAGAAATTTATTAAAAAAATAAATAGCTATATATTTATATCATCATTCACTACGGTAAAGTTAACAAAGTAGCTGTTAAATACTTAAATTTCTCATTTTTTAAGATTAGTCAAGTATTTATTTTGCAAATTACATGATTTTCAAAAGTAGACTCTCAACTGAGAAAGGTTTTATTTTAATTCTGACTTATTGATTATTTTTTTGAAAAAGTTTTTTTGGGTCACTGTACTGTGAAACAAAGCATAGTAAGCAGATGGTTATTGACTTCAATTTAATACCAACTGGAGTCGATATTTGGTTGAATACCAACATGCAACTGATATGTAGTTTTTTTTGCCATTAATCTCATATGATTATCCTAATTTACCGTCCAAAAAGTTAGACTAAGATACGTATCTTTTACTACAATTATGAAGCCCATTATTACTTATAAAACAATCTCAAGGTAAGGTTATTCAATTACAATTTTTTCTTTACATTTACGACCAATTCAGCAAAAAAGCACTCAATAAGATTTCGTTTAAAACAATTCACATAATTAGAACCGCATTACTACCCATAGCCTCGGCTAGACACTTCTTCGACATAATACAGCCAAAAATACTGTTCGCCTGCGAGGAGTCGATCGAAATCCTAGCCCAAGTGGCCAACGACGTCGGCGTCACGTGCAAATTCGTGGTTTTCGGCCGATACCCCGGCTTCCAATCCCTGGAGGACATAATGGCCGAAATCAGCCCAGAAGAAATCGACGGCTTCCGCCACGTCGAGCCGGAAGATCCAAAAACCAAGTTGGGAATCATACTCTTCTCGTCGGGGACCACCGGCACCCAAAAGGGCACGATGCTGTCCTACGACGCTCTCGCGAACCACCACATGGAACAACTGCTACCCCACGAGGGGTCGAACGCGCTGTGGTACTCGACCATGTCCTGGATCACGGGGACTTGTTTCATAACCAGCTGCATACGACTGCGGTGCACGCGAATCTTGCATTCGCACTTCGATCCGGAGGAGACGAGCCAAGTCGTGGAAAAGTACAAGGTGAGGCTTGACTGCCTGATATATATATACGAATGTGTTTTTTTCCTCGAATAACATTGCATTGTCCCGGTGATCAGGTCAATTGGGCCTTCTTATCTCCAAGTGCGTTAACTCAGCTGTACAAAAATAAATTGATCGATCAATACAACTACGCATCGCTCGAAGTATTGGCCACAGGTGGATCGAAGCCCAGCAAGGTCGTCCTTGATTACTGCCGGAGAGCCTTGCCTCACACATTGGTCACCAACACCTTTGGTAATTACCGTTGTTTCGAGACGTAATGATTTTTTTTTTTTTTTTTTTTTTTTTATGCACGTCTGTATGGATGATTAGGTATGACGGAGCTGGGAGGTATGGTGGTATACCAAAGAAGTGCCTTTAAGAAGATCGACTCGATCGGATACGTTGTGGGTGGAATAAAAATGAAGATTATCGACTCGGCGATGGGCAATAAGCTCGGCCCGAATCAGCAGGGCGAACTGTGTTTCAAATTCGACGGCATAATGCTTGGTTACTTCAAGAATCCGAGGGAAACTAAAAAAATGCTCGACGATGAAGGTATTCGACTCACACGCTGTTTATGCTTTTTTTTTTTTTTATCGTAGTTGGTACTTTTGTTGCAGTCATGCTTATCATGTATCGCCATTCACTCAGAGTAACGCAAGCTCATCAGTTGACGCATACGCAGTGTTGATTTTTTAAGCAGACTAACAGTCATAATATTAGTAGTGGTATTGTTGTCCAAACATTTATGGATACTCCACCTACACTAGAGTATCCAACCAAAAATCTAATGTTATTTGTGTAGAACTCAATAAAGCCACAGTCAAGTTTTAATGATTTTCCACGGTTCAAGGGAGAATTTTTTTTTTTCTCTTCTAATCATAACATATTCTAGCGGGAAATTACCACTAAAATAGCTTACGGCGATTTGAGAATATCATTCAAAGAGACAAGGAAGGGGAGTCCCCTTTACTGCGCACCTCCTCTTGCACCCAACGAACTCAATATTTTACTTACGTTTGACGTTGACGTTGTTCAAAATGTCCTATAACATGCCTCAAAATTTTTCTCATTCAACTATTAAACAATAATTAATTCGTAGGTAGATTTTTTTTAATATCTTTGCATTTTCCAAAAAATTTTGTCCATGTAAATTTCAAAATTGAGGTTACGTCCCATAAAAGCCTATACATAATTTTTATTCGTACAATTGTTTTTTGTCCATTCAAGCGAGAGAAAGAGGTTACTTTCCACAAGAGCCTATGTTAATCACATGATTCTCGTTTGTATAATTCTTTTAAAAATGACCTGTAACAAATATTTAAAACATTCATATAAGTTCTACGTATTCTAGGTATTCTAGACTATCTGGAAAACTCAATATTACTGTGATCTCTGCATTTTATTATTACTCTAGAACCTCCTTAAATAAATTTATTTTTAAAAAATTCCTGGAGATTTAAAAATAAACAAACAATACATGGCAGCTTTAAAAACGACCTTTTATCACCAACTATAGTTACAAAAAATTTACACTGCATCAACGTCTGCTTGGTTAGGTTAGAAAGTTTAGCTGTGAGACACTTAAACCTTATACTCACTTTATGAGTATCTGTACACTGAGAGAAGGATCATTTGTTTACTATCAACGTAAAAGAATGTTAACAGAAAATTAGTTAACATATTCTATATTCTATTATAAAAGGGAGATAGCGATTAGTATCGAATTGAAATTTCGATTACATCGAATTGAACCTGAAGTTTTATAAAATGTGCTGAAGTTAGTTGTAAGATTAGATGTCAAACTAACTTTTGGCGCCCTTTGAAGCTACAAGTAACTTTTTAAATTTTAAATGACACAGACGGCATATATGTTAATAGTTAACATGCCATATTTTACGTTAAACCTGCACCACGTCAGATGGCACCATGCGGGATACATATTATACGTAAGTTAAAGTAGTATACTGGCATATGTAAAAAATACAAAGCCAATAAATTAGTTTTAAACTTTACGTTATTTAATAGCTAACATATGAAGTTAATTACTAACAAGTTCTTCTCTCAGTATGTAGAATGTCCAAAAAGAACTAAGTCAAAGTCTAGAACTAGAATGAAACTATCATGATTATTATGTATAAAAAAAGCTATTCATAAAATAACCGGAAAAATGTTTTAAAATTATCATAAATTTTTTACGTACTCGAATCCTGGATTGTAGACAGAACGTTGCCTTATAGATAATTCCGTTTAAAAAGTAAAAAAAATTTTAATTACTTAGGTTGGCTGCACACCGGGGATCTAGGGTATTTCGATGAAGATGGTGAAATATCGATCACTGATCGAATCAAAGAAGTCATAATCTGTCAAAACTACCACATATCTCCGTCGCAAATCGAAGGAATTCTTCTGCAGCATCCCGAAGTGAAGGAAGTCGCAGTTGTACCAGTGCCCCATCAAGTAGACATCGAGCGACCAATGGCATTTGTTGTGAAAATCCCCGGAGCAAAAGTACATTTTCACAATTCGAAAAGTTTTTTTAAAAATAATACTTATGATAATTTTGTCAAAACCAATTGATGTTGTTCACAGGTCACAGCAGAAGTATTAATGGAATTGCCTGCTAGTTACGACGAGTATTTCCGTTTGACAGGTGGTGTCGTGTTCCTAGAGAAACTACCGTACACGAACACAGGAAAGAAAAGCCTGAGGGACTTGAAAGAGATGGCAAAAGCTTACGCACAATAATTGTTTTCACTTAACTCATTTACATATATTCGATCTGGAATACAAGGCTGATGTATTGCAATAGGCTATACAATTACTATTTATTATCAACAGTTAAAAGTTCATCACTTTGATCAACAGGAAAATTTTCACAAATAGTTGTAAATAATTGTACGCGACATTTTTTCTGTTACCAGCTGTATCACTCACTTTAATAAACATTTCTTCATCTCATGCATGTATAAAGACACTTAATATTATTCTCAATTTATGTCTCCACACTTTATTAAGTACGTATATGTATATTCCAAATCTATTTATGATTGTTCATCATTTTTACATGATTACAAAGCCACAACAATATTACAGGAAGATAAATCAACCACAAAAATAATGATAGTAATAATAATAATAATAATAATGATAATAATAATAATAATCTAATATTTCGTCAACGTAAAATACTAAATGATAAAAAATATCCTGATTTCAAAAGAGTCACACCAAGTCTGCACTGGCTTGTTTACACCGATCGCCGAATTTTGAGTGGTCCTAGTCCCCCCCTTCTGCATTTTTCACAAATATTTGAGTGGTTCAGTTCCTTAAACAAGATTAGAACTTATAAAAAATTAACTTTACATGCAAGACAACATACACCCTTCTTAACATAACCCTAGATACAAGATTACATACACCCTTAACCCTTAACATAACCTTAGATACAAGATTACATGCACCCTTAAACACGGGCACTTAAATGTATTTAAATTGCTTTTTTTTCTAAAAGTTTAATGAATTACTTTTAATGAAAAATTTTTTTTTTTCGAGTCTGACTTAATACACAGTGCTTAAAAAAAATTTTCCAACACAAATAAGATTGTATTACAACTTAAAAAAAAATTGTTTGAAATTGAAAATAGTCAAAGTATTTGAAAAAATGTTAAAATATTTTTAGATATTTTACATTAAACTTCATTGCATTGTTGCACTTATCTGTGAAAAAAAAAATTGTTTTCTATATTACTGCTGTTGATAGCGAGGAATAAATTAGAGCTACTACCTACCAATCGAAAGAAATGGTAAAAGTCTAATTGTTCTTGCTTTATTTGTAAATCTATGTTTAATCCATAAGTAAGAACAAATATATTTTTATAGGCTAGTCCATTTGTTAATCATCGGCAATGAGAGCTAATCGTCACAAAAAATGAACCATTTAGATGTTTAATTTTTCAAACAAAAATGAGTATTTCACATTTACTCGCATTTATGATATAATATTTTAGATACTAACATAATCATATTAGTTTTGCAATAATTTTTGGTAAATTTTTCCTGTTACAAACCACATTACCCACTAATCAATGTTTCTTCATCTCGCGTATACACAAAATACACGAATTATTTGATTCTAAAAATACTCTTCACTTTCTCGCACCAAGTGCATGTATACGTATTAGGAATCCACTCATGATTATTTATCGTTTACAAAAGATTTCGAAGCCACCGCGAAATCGTGAGGAAAGAAATCATCAAGAAATAATAATCTAATCTTCCGCTGGCACGCGCGCACGATCCTTAACCTCAATTTATAGAAATTCAAGTTCAGCTCACCTCGACACCCAATCTCTCGGGACAATATCATCCCGCATGCGTATACGCGTGCACTTATGTACACACGTGTCGTGCGATAAATACATTCGGCACTTAACTGCCGGCCTTTTCACTTCATGTCGCGCGCACATGTACCTATTCATACGTATATATAGTAATGGCGAAAATATAAGCCGCAGTGTGTATGTACACACATTACGCGCGCAAATTACTAACCTCAATTTCAAATCAGCGCTCGGGCGTGCGGTCATTATCGTGGAAATGGACGGGTGCAATCTAAGCACTTTTCGGTTACAACTTGGTAGGGCATTATCCTATAATGGCATTCAAGGGAATTTATGTCTTTTCGGCTGAGATACAACCAAAATCATAAGAGACTTTCCGAAATTTTGATACCAATTTTTTCCGAAATTTCTTTTCTACATGCACCCCTCAAACACGATCCGATTTTTACCGATCGAGCAATTTATTTTTTTTTTTCATTCCTCTGAATCCATGTCCATGTGATCTCGAATCGATTCTACTATGGATCAAACAGTATATCTTGTGGTACTGACGGTTCATTTTCTCAACGATTTCCAAAGAGAGCGTAAGAAAATCGGTTCGACCTTCTTTCGAGCAACACCATACTTTAAAGGGCACACTGCAACACAGCCACCGATAAAACGGACAATATACCGCTCGCCTCGCCTCTCTCCGCGATAAACACCACATTTTCGCCTTTATTATTATTTGACAAATATCACTTATCGATAAGACAACGCAACGCGTTCGTAATTTTACCTTTTTTACGAACGCACCGCGTGAAACATCGAGAATGAATAAAGATTGTATACACGGTCACGGATCTTACCCTGTGCAGTGAGTGCGAAATTCAATGTCAGACTTTTCGAGATTGGTTAACAAATTTTTCATGAAAACTTGTAAGAGCTATTATTTTTTCCATACCACACGAGCCTTATTAGGAAAAAAATCGGCCATCGCAATAATGTGATTTCTGCGTTTTCTTGCAAGTAAAGTAAATCAACGAGCACAAACGACAACAAATGGAAAAGCGTTGGATAGTTCGAGCGGAAACGAGAAGCTGCAAAGTCAGTCGTCAAACATGATTTTTCCCGATCGGCCGATCGATCATGCGAGTCCGTCGGCGGCGGCGAGTTCGCCGAAAGGGATGCTCGAACGACCGATCCGATCGCGGCGGGCCCTAATTGCCCAACGCGCGCCTATGGAAGCGTGTAGTGATAAAAAAAAGGGGGGGCAACTCTCGGCCTTTCAAGGTCGCCGAAGCTCTTTTCTTTCGCCTCGAGTGGTGATCATCGTTCCTATGGCGCCGCGGATCTGACGCTCGTGTGTTCGTTAAACCGCGTGTATGGTATTTTTATGCGTTTCGCGGCGAGTACGGGAATCGGATGAGGGACGCGTGCGATTATTAACGAAGATTAATGGGATGCGCAGGGCTTGGGAGTATGAATGCAGTGCTTCGCAAAGACGATTAGCACGTGTTATTTTTGTTTTTTTTTGTTTTGTTTTTGTTTTGTTTGATGAATTTTTATTTACACGTGTGATTGACGACTCTTGGAGGAAAACAAAAGTGTGTTACATCGAATGTTCGGCACACCTGTAGCGACGAATTACCCGGCGATGATATTAACATGTCATTAACGAGCAAACAAATTGAAATTTTGCACCTGATGTGTTAAGGAGTGCCCTTTTGTTTTGCTTATTCAAAGAATGCATATTTCATTTTTTATATTTTGGTTTGTCAAAAATCCACGTAAAATAAGGCCATGTTTGCGATCTTTTCAGTCATGTATCATCGAGTACAAACAAAATCGAAAGATGCAACTGTTACGAGAATTTTTCTGTTATGTTGATTAAAAAATGTAAATCTATAACCTTGAAGCAAAAAGTGACAAATGAAAACATGAGAAAATGATTTGTAGCTCATCAATCACAGCTAAATACCAAACACTTAAAGATTAAAAGTGGAATCCGTTCCACATGCGCAGGTGGATAAAAAAAAACTTTGTACAAAAATAATTTCTGTCAAGAGGGCAAGGACGTTTATTTAAAATATTGAAAAAATAAAGAATTAAAAATTCTTTTGAAATGATTAGTAGGCGTGACTGAGGGTACTTATTCCAAGTATTGCGTTTGATGCAGTTGTTGCAAAAATTTCAAATAATCAGTATACTTTTATTAAAAAAGTAATTACGACGGATTATACAAGCATCTTAAACGACAACTTGGATCATTACGAGTACAATTAATTAGTATTCGAAGTAGTACTGTCGGTACCTCACTAGTCAAACGTATGAATTTGCTCAAAAATAATTAGTGTCAAGTTATGTCAACACTGCGATTACCTGAATAGTTCTCCATGGAAGATTATGTAAAAATTCATAGCTAATCCTTACTAGTGTGTACTCAAGGGCAAAAAAACTATTTTCTTAGCCTAGAAAAAATTTTGCACATACAAATAAAGCTTAAATTGAAAATCAGAGATTTCCGTATGTTTTATTGTTTATTTATAATTCAAAAACATGTGTATAAAGTTTCAAGTACTAATATTTAGTAAAAAATAATAGAGAAACAATTTGGTGAAAAAGCGTCGTACTGCAGCACGTATTTTAGTCTGTTTTTTTTACTTTTTTCTATCATAAGCACTTAATCGGTACTTTTCTGTTCTAAAAAAATTCTGTGAACATTAACTTTTCTTTACTGTCATTTTTTTTCCTCATCTGAATGGCACTTTAAGTTTTATCCGCGTTCAATTTGGAGAAATACGAGGTTCCCTATTAGCGTTGTGTTTAACCTACAAAAACACAAATGTCTATAACTTTTTCTTGGGTCCACCAGGTTAACAAAACTTTAACCCATTTATTTTAATGTAAAAATTTCGTAGTTCGTACAGTATCATCTAAACCATACTTATAGGTACCGTCAGTACTACCTTAAACAATTAAATATTTCATCTTTTAAAGACTAAGTATCGCTCTGTGCAAACATAACCTTTTTTGCAATATTGGTGTCATTGTGGATCTTTAATTCTACTTATATAAGCATTGTAATGCCTGCAAATAATACGAGCATCTAAAACGGAATCTAGACACTAATTTAAAACAAGAATTACAATAACTTTATGATCCGGTTTACTAACAAGAAGTGTGCTATAAGCCAACCTTCGAAGACACTGCACAAAAATACCCTCACAATTCCTTCTTTCTGTATAGGTATTTTTGTCTATATTTTTTAGAAATATAAGGATTGTAACGGCTCTTAAAAAAAAATTTATTATTTTTGACAGTTGATATGACAACAAAAATTACTTCCCTCTTTAATAACATAAAAGATACGATAAAAAACCTGTGTACAGTACAAAAATTTATCTTGGTGATCGGCAAGTGCAACGGAAATGTCAATATTATTGCACACGTGAAAAATAAAAACGAAAGGCTACCCTCGAGCACTCACATTGTGTTAAATATTTGTACGCAACTTTTTTACTGTTGCTAATAAGAACCTTCTGCCAGAGATAAACATTATAACAACAAATACAGGATTTTTGCGATGTAATAATAAACGCGTTGTTGAAACTATTCATACAAGTGATGTTTTTCACACCTTTTAATTTTAATT